CCAACAACGGTATGTCATTTGGAGCGCATTCGTTGTTATGTGTCTTTCAATCTGCACTACCTAGGGTTCCAGAGAAGGCGAGCGCAGTTTTTGCACGACATAGCCGAGTATCTCGGCATTGGTCAGGGTGCAACGCGTCAGATAATCGAGCGCAGCACGTTTCTTCGTAGGTACACGCTGGCGGAGATGATCGGCGACGTCGAACACAAAAGCTGTTGCATTTGTCTAGAAGAGTTCGTAGCAGGTGAGGAAGTTCGGGTGCTGCCGTGCACACACTTTTTCCACACTGCCTGCATCGATCGTTGGTTGATAACCAACAGGAAGTGCCCCCTCTGCAGGAGAAACATAGACAACGAACATCTGCCAATTGCTGCTGCGAGGCTGATGAACTGAAGCGATTTTGATAACCCGTTCATGTTGATTCTTTGGAAGTCATCCAAGCGACATCTGTTTTTGATCCTGTAAAATTATAGTGAGCTATTGTAAAAACTTTGATACTGTGCCTTGCCATTTGCTTCGGGTTATTATGCAGTGAAAATCGTTTCGTTTTTACCAGTGAATCGTTTGATTTTCATTATTGTGTTTCGGTGATTTGCAGCCAATTGGTTCCCTTATGAATGAAAACTTGTATCAGTATGCAAGTTTGCATTTTGGTTGTTAAATTTTGGCAACACAGATAGCTTGTTTACTCGTATGTTAGGTCTTTTCCACGATAAACGATCTTAGCAATAAACTTTTAATTCACCAGGATAACAAGGTAGAAAAATGATGTGAAGCGGAGATTTTTGCAGTTGACTTTCTAAATTGTACCTATTCACCTACTGGTTTGGCGGCACTGGCGTGACCTCATGTTCATAGTCTCTGATTTGTCTTATGTAGTCTGTGTCTGTAATACTTTTATTTTCATTTAATTTGGATTTGCCAAACCTATTTAAAAATATTTGCTTCAACGAAAATTGACATCTGAACGAATGGTGGTGAATGATTCACTGAGTATATTTTAAAGGTTATCCGCGGAACAAAGCAGCATAAGTTCTGAACGTAGTCGAGGTTTCTACCGGTGATCTATGTCGAAATTGGATTAAACGTTTCCTTTCCAATGTCTTAGTATAGACGAGATATCAAATTGAGCGTCATATTATAGCGGTACATGTTGACCAACAATTTTAAGCTTATCGGTCAACAATCAAATTCGAAAAATTTGCATATTGAGGATGAATGTCGCTTGCGTCGCCGAATACAATGCCGACGGGCCAACTTTCGCTGATACTCGGTAGTCCCTGTTTTTATAGTATTTGTGGTCTCAATACGCCTGTTCTCACAACTTTTTCAAGCGTATTTAGCAAAAACTATTTAACTTGCGGTGTTGACGCTAATTCCTGATACAGCAGTATTCTCAAGTGGAAGGTCAGCACCTGTTGACGGGTATAAAACTGTAGATATTTAAATCTTAACTCTCAACCGCACAGTTTTCAAAGTCAACAGTTTGCATATGTTGATTGTCGTGAACTTAACCGCAGTGATTAGACCGATGGCTAACATTGTGATATGATCCTGATTAAAATCTAACTGACAATGCTTCATTAATTCAGAAAATTGAACAACAAAATGTGTTTGCAATAATCTGTATGAATGAATCTTTGAGTACGCATTTCAATTTAAAAACCTGTTGAGTTTCATAGATTGTACGAAAGTCTTGAGCAGGTAAACGCTATCTGTTGAGTAGTTTTAAACCACCGTCAGAGCGTTTCTATGTTTTTAGCACCATTGTCATAATTCCAAGAAAATAAAGACGCAAAGTCGGTCAAGTCATTGTCCTTATCGAACATTTGCACTTTCGTGTCTCTAAAGATAACTCAGCCGTTGTCGGTCCCAATGCCGGATGAGCGAGGAGGAAGGTTGGTGACCGTGGCAAAGTCTCCGTAAAATTTAGACACCTGCCAATCAGGGTATCGACGCCACCGAAAATTGTACCCGCTCGGTCGTCGACCGGGTTACCAAGGGCCGCGCAGGCTGTTGGGGGACTGAGGCAGACTGCGAAAAGTC